CACCCCCCCACCATGGACTGTTCTCCCTGCTGCTCTCTGGGAAGAGGCTTCACAGCATTCAATGCAGGACCAGCAGATTCTGCAGCAGCTTCTTCCCCACCGCCATCACACTGATGTACTGTTGGATAAACTCTAAATCATGTCACAGACTCTGCATCACACTGATAACATGAGACCAACATACTGCATATTTGCACCATAGATATCAATGCTCTAAACTTCCATATCAATGCATTCTTTTGCACCATGATTTTTTTCTCCTATACTGTTTACATCTAATCACTGTTGCACTTTAAGAAATTGATATGTTCTGAAAGCTGTGCAAAACAACATTTGGTTTTGTATAAACTGTACATGTTAAAAATGACATTAAAAGTTGTCAAAGTCTAAGCTTGTCCCTGGAAAAAAAAGTGGAAAAACCTCCAGTGAGCTGACACAATATGATAGTCAGAAGCAGGTAACCCCTTTGGTTGTCAGCATGCAACAGTGTAATTTATCTCTGGGATTATTAAAGTATGTTTGATTGTGATTCTGATTCTGAACAGGGTATATCCTTCAGGTAGGTATTCAATCCCTCTAACTCCAACTTTGGGGCCTCCTGCGTTGCAGTGAGGGCTGTGCCATCAGACATTGGGCTAAAACAACCCAGAGTATCTGACCAGCAGTCACAGGGTTTCCTAATATACTCCTCCAAATAATGGAACATCTGAGATCCATCCATCCTCCTAAGTGGACAGTCCTTCCTACGAACGCTGGGACGTTTTCCCAACTGCCAGCATCATGTCTTTGGCAAAACGATTATGGCCCACTGCCCGGCCAGGGGGCAGGTAATTCTGCTGATTAGAGTCTGTTCATTAATCAGGTTGTTCCATTGAGAACAGCCAGGTCAGCTGCACTGCCCAGGAACAACGCTGCAACTACGCAGGCAAAAGGGGCACAGGTCATGCTGCAGAGGGGCCAAGCAGAACCAATTTGGGAACGTCAATTAAAATCAGCATGGGCAGAAAAAAACGCCATCAGCAAGTTTACAAAAAAAGCAACTGGCATGTGTGGGTTCTCTCCTGGTACTCTGGCTTCTTCCTACAGTCAAAAACATGAATGTTAGGTTAATCGGCTTCTCCAAATCGTCCTTAGGTAAGAGTGCGCGTATGCATGGTCCCCCCCCCCCCTCACCCATACACTGCTGGAGGTAGGCACCGACCCTGACGGAATAAGCGGGAGAAGATGATTGGGTGGATGGATGCTCTGACACAAAGACGGAGGAGAATACATGGGAGAGAATATGTTTGCCCTCAGTTCACTGTACATGTCAATAGAGCTACATATTTACTTTTTTTAAATCTGAATTTTGAGTGAATATTCACATTGAAATAATAAATGATTAGAATTTCTATATTTTAAAATATTATTAAAGACATTAAGCATGCTAAAACATTATGACACATTACAATTCTGTCTTTCAGGATGTGCATTTGTAACATTTACAAGTCGACAGATGGCACAGTCTGCTATCAAGTCAATGCATCAGTCACAAACACTGGAGGTGATGTGAGCTTAGGACAAACTTTGGTCTTCCATTATTTTAAAGTTAACTACATAATTCAAATGTTTCTACTGTTTTTTAAAAAGTTGATTCATGATAAAGAAAGACAAACATTTCCAGTTAGTTCCCATTTTAAAATAGAATTGGATGGATTTCAGTATATCTTTAACAGTCTTTGTTTTTTGTATTAAGGGCTGTTCATCACCCATTGTGGTGAAATTTGCGGATACTCAGAAAGACAAGGAGCAGAAACGCCTAGCTCAACAGCTGCAGCAGCAGATGCAGCAACTTAGTGCTGCTTCCATGTTGGGAAATCTATCTGGTTTCCACAATCTTGGGCCACAGTTCCTTGCAGTGAGTGGTGCTCTTTTATGACCTTTTTTTTGTGTGATTGTTCAAAAGGGAGCAAAATTAGTTTGGTGAAAACCAGAAAATTAATTTTGATTTTGATGTCGTCTCAGTTGTACTTGCAGATGTTGCAGCAGTCCACCTTGACAGGGGCTACACTCAGCAATCTACACCAAGTTTCAGGTAAGTTTCAGCTACACACACACACATACACCCCAACACACGTACATATCTATAAATATATCTATAAATATATCTTTATGTCTTTGTTTATTGCCCATAAGCGTTTGCTGTTAATGCAGCACGTTAACGTTCTGGTCTTGAATTTGACTGTGCATATATTTGCCAGGTCTGAATACCATGCAGAATCTGGCAGCTTTAGCTGCTGCAGCAACAGCCACTCAGGGTTCATCTTCTTCTTCCAGCTCCATGGCAACATCTGGTAGTCCATTAAGTGCACTAACCAGCACAGGTAACATAATTTGAGGCTCCAGAGACTTTTCTCTACAGGTGATAAAGGGGGGTTAAGCTTAATAGAACTGAGGGGGGTATTAAGCAGCCTTAATTTTTTAATACACAGATGCAAACAAACTACAGTTAGCTCACTACTCTTAAAACCTGCTACAGTCACCAATACAATGAATATGTGTTGTTCTGCTTTTTAAATAAAACATATAAGAACGTAACGATCATACTTTTGAAATTAATTCACTAAATCCGGGGAAACAAAATACAGGTTACCAGGCTAACTTGAACACTGTTCTCCCTGATTTTTACCTAAATGTAGACTTTGCAGCAAAACACTCTAGATATAGTTTAATCTAACACTAAAGATGCATTCAGAGCAGCTCCCTGCCCCCACCAGATGTGGGGGCAGGGAGCTCATCCGTCTGTCATGCTAATTCCTGCATATAAGCCCCAGCTGATCAGGGCTAAACCAACAGTTAGATAGGTCAGAGTGTGGTCTGAGGGCGCCATGGAGAAACTCCAAGACTGTTTTGAATGCTCTGACTGGAACATCTTCAAAGCTGCAGCAACATATGACAACTTGTGACCAGTGAGTCTTTCCAGGGGTGGGGGGATCTTCTCCTGAAGTCCATCCCTATCTCCTTGGTCTTACTGGTGTTCAGACACAGGTGGTTCTTCTCACACCAGTTCACGAAGTTCATGACCGATCAATACTCCAGCTCCACCCCCTCAGAATCACAGCCTACAATTCCCGAGTCATCGGACAACTCCTTGAGATGGCAGCTATGTGTGTTGGAGATGAAGCCTGAGGTTTAAAGGGTAAAGAGAAATGGAGACAGAACGGGCCCTGGTACTGCAGAGCTCTGACTGACAGCCATGCAGCCGCACGTACTAAGGGCGTTCAGTGAGGTAGTTGATGGTCCAGACAGCCAGATGTCTGTCCACTCCAGCGTCCTCCAGCTTCCCCCTCAGCAACTGTGGTCTCATAATGTTGAAAAAGCCGGAAAAGTCAAAGAACATGAATTTTGCTGCGCTCCCGGTGGTCTTCAGGAGGATGAGCACCCGCAGAAGTAGGTAGCTGATAGCATCCTCCACTGCAATGTCAGGTCAACAAGCAAACTGCAGCGGGTCCAGGAAGGGGCTCATCACGGTGCACAGTTTGGCTGGGATGAGGCGCTCCATGGTCTTCATCAGGTGGAGGGTCAGGGTTACTGGTCTAAAGTGGGCCGGTTCTTTGGCGTGTGCGGTTTTGGGAATCCTGTTCTACACAGGAGGTTTTCCAGAGAGTGGGGACCACCCCCAGGTTGAGGCTCAGGTTGTAGATATAGCTGAGGAGCTAGCAGAGCTTATCAGCAGTTCCTGAGAAGCCTTTAAGGAATCCCGACCGGTCCGAGGCTTCCCTCTGTTTCAGTCTCTTCAGCTGGCCTCTCACCTGCATCGAAGTACCGGTAACTGTGAGGGGGGAGAGAGGCATGACAGAGGGGGTGAGATGGTCTTGGAATATGCTCCAGTCTGTGGTTCTGAAACAGTCTCTCAGTTTTTCAGTATCCTCATCTAACCAAACTCTCATGGACGTCTTCTGCAGTATTGTTCTTCTCACCACTGGTATGTAGTTGGGGAGCGGGTAGACAAGGTAATGATCCATGCATCCTGTGGGGATGGGGGGGTATAGTCGTTGCATTAAAGACACCTCTGCCTCCCTCCCTGCACTTAATAAGCTGAATTTGATTGAATTAATCATTGGTGAACCCTATTGAAGTAACATGGCCTGACTTCCCACACCAACTAGGACCCCAAAATTACAGCCTGTCTGAATGGACCATGCTCAACCAACACCCATTTTCACTTTTAGGAAACACTTAAAATCACATCAAGCACAGACAAAATAAAATGGTAAATTGCTTCGAGAATTTGCTTAAAAACATAATAAAGAAAAACTAAAATGAAGGAAAACTTAAATGGCAGCTCTTTTACCCATAACGGCTCTTATTTAACCATGTGAGCACAGTCAGCTATCCTTTGAGGAGCTTTGTTAAGGTAGCAGTTAACATCTTGAGCAGGTTATGTTTATAACAGGTGTATTTCAGTCTTTATTCTTATTACATGTTTCAGTTTGAATTCTGTTTTATTAAAAAACTTGTTGATTAATAAAATACTGTCATTGATGATACTTTTACCCTCTGATTGATGATTAAATGACATTTAATGAGAATCACAACTTTAGGATAAAAGAGTTACCGTCTCTTTGTTTTTATGAACTGATACAGGCATGGCAACAATAAATGGCGGTCTTTCCTCTGGTGGTTTGTCGCATGGCTCAGGTACTACAATGGAAGCACTGAGCCAAGCATACTCTGGCATTCAGCAGTATGCAACTGCTGCACTGCCCAACCTGTATAATCAGAGCCTTCTATCCCAGCAAAATCTGTCTGCAGCAGCAGGAAGCCAAAAGGAAGGTGAGTTTGGTCCACCGGCAGCAGAAAAGGGAGACAGAATAGTAACATATCCTAAAAGGACATTATTTTGTTACAGCTCATCCTATTAAAAATGCTTAATAGAATATCATTGTACTTCATAGCAAAAACAAAAATGTGTTTACATTGGATCCAACATACAAAACTACTTTGATAGATCAATAAAATAGGAGGGGTTCTAGGGTTTGAGTTTCACAGGGGGAAATAGGTTTTAAATGGACACTTAAAAGTGACACTTAACCCTTTACTGTAAGCTAAGCAAAATTGGATTAACTACTAGAGAGCGTCTAGACAACTTATCTTGAACTAATGGTTAGTTACCAATACCAATACTGGGGCATTACCAGCCCAGCCTGATTACAGGACTATTGCTTAGTAACCGGGGAAACACAGAGTAACTAATCTGGAACACTAACCCTAACCATAAACATTTTCTATGAACTATGGAGAAACAGTTTATAAATACACTGGAATCCGCTTATAGTGGTCATGGATATAATAATCAACCGTTTATATAGATCAAAAGGCTTGAGACAAAACTATTTCTATACAAATGCTGTTTTAATAATTATTTTATAGTAATTAAGAAATCTGCTTATAGTGTTCTTTTTTGCCCATTTTATGAATTGAAACGTGCAAAAATAATTTTAAAATTATGTGTAGCCTAGTTATTTTATTTTTTTACTCCCATGATTCCTTTCTGGGCGTCTGCTTCTGTTTAGCTAGTTCGGAGGTACAAGAGCGCTTTGGTGCGGTTACCAGTGCTGCGCTCAGAAAGGAGGAGGATGAAGAATAGGAGACTGTTGTCTCTTCCAGAGCTGAGATGATGAATGCAGTTTGCATTTTAAATACTGGTCTCATGCATGTTGGTTTCAAAAACTTTGACCTTTTACATCATTTTGAAAAAGAAATTAACTCGGTGTTGGACACTCTGATCCAGGGAACCTGCTGTGCAGCAGAGCCGCAACACAAAACAGACGTAGGCTAGCTTTAATTTTCTGTAGCCTATGGAGTTAGCTTCTATGTTGTTGTTTCATTAAAACCGTTTGCTTCAAACTTCAGACCTGTTAAAAAAAATGCACCGGCGGCGCCGCAGAGCCTACATACAGAATAAGTTACATAAACCTACTGTGGGCTGTCAGAGTTATGGCTGCACGCTGTGCGGTACTGTGCTGTGATTAAGCATTTGTTTCAAACTTTATTTTCAGACTTGTTAAAAAAAATGCACTGGCGGCACAGTAGAGCCGACGTACAGCACATTAGTTACGTAGGCTACCAGAGCTATGTCTGCGCACAGCGCAGTATACTGTAATTAAAGTTGCATGGAGCTGTGATACAATTCAGTAAATGTGAAAGCTATCCCTTTCATTTCATTTTTCTCATTCGAAAACCTCACAAATGACATTTGGATGATATTCTGCATAAAAACAAGTGAAATAACAGTAAATTTGGTTTTAGTAATCAACCACTTATAGTGTTCAAATTGGCTCTGGACCAACATGACCATTATAAGCAGATTCCACTGTTCCCAAATTAATTAGAAATGTTAAAACCTGCAGATGAATAATCTTAGATTGTATATTCTGGTACTTGCAGTTTTTACTACAAACATTAAAAAGTCTTTCTACTACAAATGCATCCAGTCGGCCTCAGCAGATGGCTGCTCACACTGAGCCTGGTTCTGCTGGAGGTTTCTTCCTGTTCAAAGGGAGTTTTTCCTCTCCACTGTCACTACAAGCATGCTTAGTGTGAGGGATTGCTGAAGAGTCAATGAGTCGATGCAATCAGCTGGTTTTCCTTAGATAGAAAACTCTGAATCAATTTGACTGGATGATCAGGTTAAACTGAAAAGTTCCTTGAGATGACATCTGTTGTGAATTGGCGCTATAGAAATAAACTGAGTTGAATTGAATTGAATTGTACTACTAGAATCCCTGGTAGTAGTTAACCGTAGCTTGCCCAATTCGCAGTCATGACGTTGGGCTC